TGTTCAGATACACACCAGGGTCTGAAGAACTACTAACCATTTTTGGTGAGGATGGGTTTTGCTGTTCAAAGAAACTACAGCTTAATTATTTCATCAGTCTGAGGCAAGGTCTTCAGCATGAACTAAGAATGGGCAAAAATCGACCCTGTTAACTACACGTGACTCCCAATAGGTATTTGTGGCCCTTAATACCACAAGACTCCCCAGACTAACCTTCTTCTGAACAAAGAAAGAGGGTGAATTATAGCTCCTCAGATGCAACCATTTAGTTTTAAATAGGCTTCAAGGCTTTCATCTATCATTCAGAATTTTAAAAAACAAACCAATTTTTGAGAACCAGAATGAACTTCCAGCCATGGGTGTTTAGTTCAGGACATAAAAGTAGCTTCTGAATCTGTTGTGGTTGTCATCTGTATCATGAACAAACCCAATCGGCCAATTTTCCATGAAGCTTTATTTGAAACCGTCACACGTTATGTCACCAACTAGAGCCAGATTTCTACGTAGGGACCAAACATGTGATCTGCAACCTGTCTTGCCCTGCAACAGTTCACACTGAGAGACATGCAAATGTTACTCACTGATCACGAGTTGGCATCCGAGGCACAAAACAGTAGTCTATCATGGATTTTTGACTTGCTAGCTTCCTTGGTGTGCATTACAGAATTGGAGCCCCCGGTGGCACAGTGGGTTAAAGCACTGTGCCAGCAGGACTGAAGACCAACAGGTTGCATGTTCGAATCCGGGGAGAGGCGGATGAGCTCCCTCTATTAGCTCCAGCTCCTCATAAGGGACCTGAGAGAAGCCTCCCACAAGGATGATAAAACATCAAAAATCATCCAGGCGTCCCCTGGGCAACGTCCTTGCAGACAGCCAATTCTCTCACAACAGGAGCGGTTGCTCCTGACACGATAAAATAATAATAATAATAAAATTACAGAATTCGTATAAGTCCTGTCTTGCCTCTTTTTTGGTGTGGCAGGACCCCAGAAAAGCCATAGGATGTGTTTCTTCTTGTCAATGTGGACTGCATTTCAATTACTTTCTCTTTGGTCCAGCCAGAAAATAAACTGACAAGAAATCATCAGTTGCCCTTGAATATGCAGATTTGCTGTGATATTCAAGCACGTTATGACTATTAGATAGAATATAATAGGGATTACCTGCTGCAGGCTAGAGCAAGCATGGGCAAACACCAGCCCTCCAGATGTTTTGTACTTCAACTCCCACAATTCCTAACAGCCAGCTGTTAGAAATTGTGGGAGTTGAAGTCCAAAACATCTGGAGGGCTGAAGTTTTCCCATACCTGGGCTGGAGGTACAACATACAGTTATCAGAACCTCTCACAAAGAAGTTCCTGTCTACAAAGTCTTTTTTTCTTGTTGTCTAGCCTTTCTTTGTTTCCTCCTTGTCCTTCTAGCATGAATGTTTTTTTTTTAAATACAAAACTGCAATAGGAAGGGTGCAAATTAGTTTTTTTTTATTTTTGTGTCAGGAGCGACTTGAGAAACTGCAAGTCGCTTCTGGTGTGAGAGAATTGGCTGTCTGTAAGGATGTTGCCCAGGGGACGCCCAGATGTTTGATGTTTTACCATCCTTGTGGGAGGCTTCTCTCATGTCCCCACATGAGGACCTGGAGCTGACAGAGGTAGCTCAACCCATTCTTCCCAGATTTGAATCGCTGACTGTCCTGCCGGCTCAGGGGTTTAACCCATTGCGTCACCGGAGGAACCAAATAAGGTAGTGACCTGTAGGAACACAGACTGCAAGATTGAGAAAGAATGGGATCCTACTCTAGTTGTATGTTTCTGTCCACAACAGGAAAAATAAAAGCAAATGCCTCCAGAATCTCTTATTGAGAAAGTAAGTAAGCATGGGGGGAAGTGAATTAGTCTGCTTCATCAGCTTAGTTTGTTAAAAAACAGTCCAAATGGAAATCATAAACAAAAGCAGAGCCTGGTGAAAGAAAACAATCTTTCTATGTTATTTCTGCCTCTAGTACCAAAGTTTCTGTTAAAGAAGAAATGCCCAGGAACACATCTACAGTTCTTTGTTAACTGAGGTACATCTGGATCAGTGTTTCTCAACCTTCCAAATGCCACGACCCCTTAATATAGTTCCCAATGTGGTGGTGACCCCCAACCATAAAATTATTTTCGTTGCGACTTCGTAACTGTAATTTTGCTACTATTATGAATCGTAATGTAAATATCTGATATGCAGGATGTTTTCATTCACTGGACCAAATTTGGCACAAATACCCAGTACGCCCAAATTTGAATACTGGTGGGGTTGGGGGGGGGGGGTTGATTTTGTCATTTGGGAGTTGTAATTGCTGAGATTTATAGTTCACCTACAATCAAAGAGCATTCTGAACTCTACCAATGATGGAATGGAACCAAACTTGGCATACAGAGCTCCCACGACCAACAGAAAATACTGGAAGGGTTTGTTGGGCATTGACATTGAGTTTTGGAGTTGTAGTTTACCTACATCGAGAGCACTGTGGACTCAAACAATGATGGATCTGGATCAAACTTGGCATGAATATTCAATATGCCCAAATGTGAACACTGGTAGAGTTTGGGGAAAATACACCTTGACAATTAGGAGTTGTAGTTACTGGGATTTATAGTTCCCCTACAATCAAAGAGTACCAAGGATAGAATTGGGCCAAACTTCCCACACAGAAACCTCATGCCTTGAAGGGACTCCCTGGCACGTGCCTCCCTCCAGCCTTGTATGCTCTCCCTCACCCGCACATGCACACCATGCTGCCATGCACCAAGCATGCCTGCTCCCCCCACCCCGACCAACAGAAAATACTGTTTTCTGATGGTCTTTGGCGACGCCTCTGACATCCCCTTGCAACCCCCCAAGGGGTCCCGACCCCCAGGTTGAGAATCACTGATCTGGATTATCATTACAGTGGGACCTTGGTATAGGCAGAGAGAGGGAGAAATCAAAGTTGCTGTTGTGTCTCTGGGAGAAACATTTCTTGAGATGGCCCCAATGGCAGTCTTCACTCATAAGCAACCATTAGTGGTGTTGTGAGTGGAAAAGAGGCCAGTGGCAATGCTGACAGTGGAACAGGGTTTCTGGGGTTTGCAGCTCAAAAAAGGAACTTCTGCAAGCCCTGGCAGTTGAAAGCCTTTGCTTTGTTTTACACTCAGGAATCCATCTGAGGCAGTTCTCAACCTGTGGGTCTCCAGATGTTTTGGCCTTCGATTCCCAGAAAACTGGCTGGGATTTCTGAGAGTAATAGGCCAAAACACCTGGGGACCTACAAGTTGGGAAACACTGATCTAAGGTATGCAAATCATACTAAGGAACTCAACACACATTATTAAAGAGGTTGGGGAATACACTGGTCTGGAAAATGGCTTATGAATATTGTCACATTTTGAGGTCACAGCTCCTCCACAACCTCCATTTCAAAAGGCAGCTTGTGAATAACACCTACCCAATTCAACTTCCGCTCATAATGTACCTGTTTTTCTGCAGTCTATTTTGAAATCCAGCCTCAATTTAATATTGCAGATGACTGTAAGCAGAATTTGCATGCAATTAAGTAGGAATTCCAACTGTGACAGCCCCAGGGAACTACAAGCAACGGGCACAGGCAATGCATCCAGAAATTACAGGCCAGGAAGGCCACATGTAACTCACAATTCCACATGCTTATGCAACCTTCACCATGCGAGTGTGTTCAAGCTGTATTAAGAGTACAACTTTATCATTATCTGCAGCCATTGTGGCCAGCTGTGATCCCACACAAGTGGAGGACACCATACTGGGAAATGTTGTTCTTGGGCCAGACCAATGTTAACATTCAACACGCTATGATCAAGAAAGAGACTTTGGTGCAGGGACACCCGTCCCCATCCTAGATCAATCAGAGTTTATGCATTGATGGTTTTGTATGTGCATGTGTTTTATTTTATTGTATTTTATATTGTGTTCACTTTTATGTTTGTTTTTAGGCACTTTGTGCCATCTGTAAGCTCCCCTGAGTCAGTTTGGGTAGATGGTGGTGGGATATAAAAATAAAGGTATTATTATTATTATTATTATTATTATTATTATTATTATTATTGGGTTTGTGATACAGAACAACTGAAAGGCTCCAAATCTGGGGAAGGCTAGTATAAAGGCAGGCTCTGTATCTCCAGTTAAGAGAGATCTTACACAGCAGTGAGGGGAAAATTCCGTCCCAGACAGACAAGAGTATCGATGGACCATAGATCAAATGCAGACTCCTATGACTCTTAATCCAGACTTTTGGACTCTTCTCATGCCACCAACCCCAAAACTGAAGGAAGAAGAGAGGGAATCTTGCTCTATCAGGAGGCAGAGGACTGCCTTGAGGCATATGTGGTCTCCCTCTTGTATCATTGCATACCAAACCAGATTAAGAGTCACACGGGCTATAGCACTGCTTTTTTGGAAGCCCCTGGTGGCGCCGTGGGTTAAACCGCTGAGCTGCTGAACTTGCGAATTGAAAGGTTGCAAGTTTGAATCTGAGGAGCAGGGTGAGCTCTCACGGTTAGGCCCAGCTTCTGCCAACCTAGCATTTCAAAAACATGCAAATGTGAGTAGTTGAATAGATACCGCTTCTGCAGGAAGGTAATGGCACTCCATGCAGTCATGCTGGCCACATGACCTTGGAGGTGTCTACGGACAACGCTGGCTCTTTAGCTTAGAAATGGAGATGAGAACAAACCCCCAGTGCCGGACACGACTGGACTTAATGTCAGGGGAAAACCTTTACCTTTACTATATCCTATCTTCTTTTGCACAATAGGTACTGGCTGTCAACTAAAGATTAAGTACCAATTGAGAATTCTGACTCAGTCCCTCAGTACCTTCTCTGAACCTTTGTGGCAACTATACAAATGTGCAAAAGATTCCGAAACTTTCTTAAAAATAATAATAATCTGAAACCCACTTTGAAAGGTGCATATATAAATATACGTAAACAGACACACGCTGCAATCTCCAGCTATCCCGGCAGCACCTTTCCTGTTCTATTATCCTCTATGTTTCCTGGCTGCACCTGCTGAGTGTTGTTATCAGTGCTGTCACTAAGGAAACAGATACCCTGCTGGGAGAAGTTATATTTCAAAGCCCTTGCCAATGTGCATTTTTAGTGTATCAAGAAAGAATGGGGAAGGGAGATGGAAGGGGGGGGGGGGGGGGGGGGGGGGGGAGACATACGACAGGATGTCTGAAATGCCTGCTCAAAGGAAGTCTGTGGACATTCAGAATTGAGTTCCTTGCTGCTTTTAAACAAAAAGGGAAGGAAAGGGAACCCAAAAGGAGGTTGAAAAAAATCATGAAATAATAGAATAGAAGCAAGGAAACTGGTCAAGAAACAATGCTACTGAAGGAATAGGGACAAGGACAACAACACTATGAAAGAAAATCTCGGTAAATTTTGACACCCCTACATCTTGCAGTAGATACTGGGAACGTAGTTAGATTACTATGTATTCCAATGGGTGAAAATTTGTGAAAAGCAGCTGATAAAAGTAAATAATGATGACTCTCAGATAGTTTGGCAGCACAGGCTACAGAGGACTAAAAAGGTTTCAAATGGGCATAATCAGGAAGACAAAACAAGAGGAAGAATGGGCATTTTGTGGGCTTGTAAGCTGGCTGCTGTATCCTAATCACAAAATGGCATCATCTCTCCCCACTCAAGAGTCAAATGAGCCAGTTATCATACGATCAAGAACAACCCAAAGAAAATGCAAACCTGTCTGCATTTCAACAATAAGGAGAGGTAAGGAGAAGAAACAGTTGAAGAGCTTTTGAAATCTCAAGGTGAAATCTCACCTCACTACCTCTGAGGATGCTTGCCATAGACGCAGGCAAAACGTCAGGAGAGAATGCCTCTAGAACATGGTCATATAGCCCAAAAAAACCTACAACAACTCAAGGTGTTTTGTTCTGCTGGCATCCTCCTTGTCAGACTAGGACTTAAGGGGATACCACTTTTTTCCCCAAAAGGAGTGAATGATATGGAGAGGACGTTACTCCCAAAAAGGATGGGAGGAAAAGTTTTGAAAGGAAAAGGGGAAGAGGGAAACAGGTGGGCATATTTATCTAATCCTCTTGTCTTTAAGACAGACAAGCCAATGATTTAAGGCCACAGTCTTCATGAGTTCACTGGCCTGAAATGTAACAGGTGATCCTCTGAAATGTACAAGGTTTAAAAGGGACTCCATGGCCTTTCAAATCTATGATTTACAGAGTTATGGAGACTTCTTTGGGGGTGGGTTGCTGCAGGTTGACTCCTACATTGTCCAAACTCAGTTCTGTATGAAGCCATACACTGCAGCTTGGTGCCTAGCGAAGGCTAACCCTATAAGCTCAGGCTGACCCAATCCCCCCAAATCAGGTAGGATGCCGTATATTCTGTAGATATCAACACAACTCATTCTGTGAGAAAAGGAGAGGGGAAAGGGGCAAGAAAATGCTTTCAGCTCACAAATTCTGCATTCTGACCATTTGAAATGGATAGGCCGACCCCACCTTGCTAATATTTAAAATGCCACTTTGTGTCTTGATTACTGATTCCACAGCCAAAAAGGCTACAAGTTTTGACAGATAAAATCACTGAGAATACTACCTCGGGGGCCCTGGTGGCGCAGCAGGTTAAATCGCTGAGCTGCTGAACTTGCTGACTGAAAGGTTAGCGGTTTGAATTCAGGGAGGAGAGTGAGCTACCACTGTTAGGTCCAGCTTCTGCCAACCTAGCACTTCAAAACATGCAAATGTGAGTAGATCAATAGGTATCGCCTTGGCGGGAAGGTAACGGCGCTCCATGCAGTCATGCTGGCCACATGACTTTGGAGGTGTCTAAGGAGAAAGCCAGCTCTTCGGCTTATAAATGGAGATAAGCACCACCCCCAGAGTCGGACTCGGTTAGACTTAATGTCAAGGGAAACGTTTACCTTTACCTATTACCTCATCTCTGGTAATGGCCACAGTCACAGACAATGCCAACTGAGATCCAGGCAGACAAAGCTATCATTTCCACTATTCCAACTACAAACACACATCAGTCAAAGCAGCTAAGAGTGATGTTCCCTACATGACCCACAAAACAATTTGGGGGAACTAGGGGTGTAGGCAGTAAAACCCTACAAATGTACAAAGCTTACCACCTTCAGAGCCTTGAGCTGGAGTTCTGTGTGAAAGTGCAGAACTGAAAGACAATCACAGCGGCAAGGGAAACACCGGAGATGCCTGAAAGCAGTGTGAGTGCCTTTTGTTTGTTCAACGGACAGCACCAGCAAAATATTACAGCTTCTCCAATGAGTTACTTTGTTCGCTAAAGTGGCCGACTCCAGAAAGCACCATAAATCACCATACTGCAAAAGACTTAGTGTTAGCGTAACCTATACCTGAACAGTAACCATTTAAGACCACATTGAGCAATACTATGAGGTTCTATACGATGAGCGATCACCCCTAAGGGATGGGAAGGCTGCTCCTTCTGAAGCCATCCTTTTGAAACCGGACGGCAATACGACAGCTGCTTTGGGCCAAGATCGTTATGGGACATACTTTGTTGAAAGCTCCATAGCTGCCCTTTACTCACGTTTAAAAGAGAGAAAAAAAGAAAAAAAATGTATCCACCCCAGACTGCTCAAGGGGCTTAGTTGCGATCAGTCTTTCCGGCTGCAAGTTCTGATTGGTTAGTTCTATGTCAGATGGCTTGTGGCATCATCTGCCTGCAGACTGCGATTGCGGAGCCATAATGACGTGCGACTGTACAGGCATGCTCAGTTCTGTCCTTTGGTTTGCCATTTGAGTGAGGACTGAAGTGGCGACGGCTTCGGCAGCAGAGCGGACGTTCAGGCCATTGGGAGAGGCTGTCACAGAACTATGCTGGATGACAGGAGCTGGGGAACCCGTGGGCTCAGAGCTTTCCTTTGGGCTTTCTGTTTGTTTGTTTTTTTAATAAAGGGTGGGGGGAGGGAAGAAAAAGAAAAACATAAACATTAGTAACAGCGGTGCTACCACATTGTACTATTTATCAATTTCTGGTTTTTAGAACAGAACCTAAACAACCAATCTCTATTCTTTTGATCAAAATTTATTTACAACGTGGGCTAGGATGTTGTTGGACTGTAACTCCCATCAGCCCAAAACAGAACAGCAAATGGTGAAGGATAATGGGAGTTGCAGCCCAACTGGAAGGATTTGTATATTCTAACCTAAGTTTTATAGGGGGAAAAGGTAGCTCCAGTCGCTGAAATCAATGAAGAAGGATTCACAATGCACTTCTGGTGTTGCCAACATAACTCACCTATTTCAACATCATCGTCTAAAGCAAACCCAACACCATCCAGGTAACAAAATGGTAGTAATGCACACTGTAAATTCTCTGCTATTGTTGCAGTTCCACTTCTGGAGATTCTCCATTAAAACAAAACCACGGGGAGGAAAAATCATCCTTGGAGATCCAGGATGAATAGGACTCACACTTCTCCAGATAGATTATAGAAAAAAAGCTGAAACAAACTGATGCCACCAAGACTAATGGAGCCCTTGGTGGCACAATGGGTTAAACTCTTGTGCCGGCAGGACGGTTCGAATCTGGGGAGAGTGGGTTGAGCTCCCTTTGTCAGCCTCCCACAAGGATGGAAAAACATTCAGTCATCCCATAGGCAACATCTTTGTAGACAGCCAATTCTCACACTAGAAGCAACTTGCAGTTTATCAAGTCACTCCTGACACACACACACATACCAAAAAACAACAAAAAAACCCCAAAACAAATGGCAAAAATATAACTAAATAGGCAACTGATAGAAAGAGTGCATCCTGCACAGCCAAACACACAAGATGAAAATCTAGCTTGATAGTAGTGATACCGCAGTTCAGTTCCAAACCAATATGCTTAATATGAACACCCTTACTTTACGTCAGCTACTTGCTACTACGTCAGCTACTTCCAAAGCCTTTTTTTTTGGGGGGGGGGGGGGGCTAAAATCCTTTAGCAGAATAGATGGTAAATCTTGCATTTTGCTTCATTATCTCCTTACATTTTAAGATATTGGGGCATTCTACACGCACACATCCTCCCCCAACCTGTAAAAATGATTTACAAGGTACTACAAATAAAAATAACCCAACGGTGCAGGAGGAAGCTGTAATTCCATCCCTGCTCTACTAGCGTTTTTGTCTGAGGAGCTGCTTAGTCACAAATCTAAGTAATAAAACTGTGTATGCATGCGTGTGTGAGGGGGAAAAAGAATTTCTTGTTCATCAGTGATGTGTGTGTGTGGGGGGGGGGGGGATTTCATGTTCATCAGTCTGATGCGAGCTGAATTCCTATTCCTGCAGCTAGCACAAAACAAAAACTAATAACATGAACTATAAACTCCAGAAGTGAACAGGGAAATGGAGCTGAGGGGGAGCTTTTTTTCTGCTTCTCTGTATTGTACACAAAGCCTGGGGGGGGGGGGGGGGGAGAGAAGGAGGAGATTTGGTTTCATTACCACATTTCTCAAGCTGTGAGTCACTGTACTGAATCAAAATAAACCGCAATGCCAAGAGCCCTGCAAGGCATGAATGTGTGTTCACTACATGCAAGTGGCATTTCTGAATACCCACAGCAGGAATGCCTTCTGGAGCATTGATATTTTTGTGATTTACATTTGCACTACCTTCCACTCTCTTTCTGGCATCCTGATCCTAGAAATATTATATAAAGAGAGTATCAAAGGGCAACACAGATAAGAGATTTTATTAATAAGAAACCTAAAGAACTCAGGTTATGGGAAATAATGTAGGAAGGAGGAGGGAGGGGAGAAAGAGATATGAAACAGCAGGACAGAAGTAGTTTAATTAAAGGAACGGACAGCAGAAAACAGGAAGAGATTCTGGATGTGGCACTTTTCCCATTGTTTCCCTTAGATGTTCTTAATTTGGAGATTCAGTGGGACAAAAGAGGGTGTCGGCTCATGCTTAAACAGAATATGTATCCTTTTAGTTTCTTTCAAGCTTGATGGCTTTCATGTTCCCGTTATGGACATAAAAGTATGTACCTTTACACACATTCTAAGTGATGAAATTCTTTGTGTTTCCCAGTGAGGCCAGTGATAAAGCCCTATTTACTTGCCCCTGTATTAGCATAGCTGGAACTGCTTCCATGGCTGCAGGCCACAACTGTATGCAAGCCGTTTGCACATGTAGTTCCCACAAACATCATGTTTACAAAATACAAGCAAAGCCTATTAAATTGCCATGTAAATAGGTTGTCATAACAAACTACACAGAAATATTTTTCTATAAATATCTGAACTAGGAAGGGGGCAACACTTGTATAGGTAGTAGATGTCATTTTGGTACAGGTACACAAAGGCAATCTTCCAGGATCCTCCTCAAATACACTTATCACCATCCTTTAAATATCTGCATGGAACAACATTTCTTTAAAAACAGGGGGCTGGTTCAGAATTTCAAAATCTGAGTTGTAGTCAAGAGACAACGCCATACAAAGTTGCTCAATCACAGCAACTAGGCTTCTAGACTTGCTTTGTAGATAGGTGAAAGCAGCAAATATATCTGGCTCTCACAAGGAGCCAAGTCTGAGAATCCCTATGGTGTGCAAGCCTGGATAGTAAAGTGTGAAACCTGTGAAACATGAATAGAATGACCCCCACCAGAAAGGGATATATGCACACATTGCGTTGTCAAAGGATTTCATGGCTGGAATCACTGGGTTGCTGTGCGTTTTCTGGAACATGGCCATACAGCCCAGAAAACTCACAGCAACCCTATGCACACACTGTTTTTTGCCAGACAAATGCCCACGAAGTGTGATTAAGGCTGAGATAGGATTTGAATTAGGCTTTCTTAGCAAATCACTTCGACCACTACAATCCTATCAATATTCTATAGTAAGAAATATTTATCTCTTCAGTTTAAATTGGTTTCTAATTACTTTCAACAAATGTATATACTTGACATTGTTACAATGTTCTGACAATGGTGGACAGACTCTCTTTGTGGCTCTTTCTTTCCCTCCTCCATTTCCCTCGTACTCCCTTTCTCTCTCTCTCTCTTTTTCTTTTTCATTATTCCTTTGTTTTCCCTCATATACCTTCTCTCTCTTCATTTCCTTCCTTCCTCTTCCCTTCGTTTTCTTTCCTCCCCTTTTCTCATACTTTCCCTTTTCCTTTCTCTTCCTCCCTTCCTTCTATACCCTTCTTCTTTTCTTTCTTTTGTTTTTTCTCCCTCTGTCCCTCCCTCCCCATTTCACCCAACAAGACAGATTCTGCTACACTCCATTTATTTTCTAGTGACATGATAGAGGGCCACTTCACCTAGCCAAAGCCAATCCACGTTGTCCCTTTCTTCTTGCTCTGTGCCTGAAAGGGGTGGGATATTTTTTTTTAAGTTCAAATATCCGAAGTTGGATAATGAAAAATATGTATGCCTCCTTTGGTCCAGATTAATCAAGCCATGGAGGAGCCTTTATAGTACAAGCCAACACACATACATACATACATACTTTGACTTTTAAATATAGAGATGATAATTTTACCAAGCATTGAAGATTAAAGAAATCTATATGTCTTATTCTTACTTGACCCACAGTCACTGTCAGAGGACTCCACTTACCAAGATAACCTTGTGTTTTTTTCTGTAATGCAGTCACTGGGCAGTCCTTGTGAGCCAACAACAGTTGTTTGAGTTGAGCAACTTCATTTCTTAGTAGTGTGACTTCATTCTATGGGAAAGGAAACAACATTTGCCCTCATTTCATGTGCCTCTCGCAATCACTGCATAAAATGGTGACTCTGTATGCCCCTTCTCTTGTCCTCTGGGTATGAGCTAGCCAGTCAGAGAGCCTGTTGCTGGTTACTGACAGCAAGAAATGCCCTATTTTGCATGCCTTGCCAGGGAATATTTAAACTATGCTTACTGTATGGCTTAATCCTGTTCTTAAGGGGGTGCTTTGTGTCTGCAAATTATCGTAAGGGCTGAAGTTAGCAATGCGATCAAATCACTAGTGAGCTTTTCAGTATAGCAAAAGTATCACCTGAGTTAGATAGAAATATGGAATGCCCTATTTTTTTTAAAGGAACTGTTATTGACTTGGATTTGGGAACTTAGGCTTGGTTGTGTTTTAATACGTTAATGGTCAATATTTTAATAATCTTGTTGGTTTACTTAATGTTAATTGTTTGCAGACGATGTCTGAGACCGGCAGTCGACCAAAGTTACTGACCACAATATATGGACTGAATATACGGACTGAGTTGGACATGATTTTATCTTGGCGAATGGCTGTTATGTAATTTATCCTATATGTATTCGTTAATTTTAGTGTTGATGTATGATATTTTAGATTTTAGTGTTAGCATTGAATCTTTGCTGTCAGCCGGTCTAAGTCCCTCTACGGAGGTAGAGAAGACCAGGATATAAAAGTTTTAAATAAATAAATAGTCTGTACTGCAATTGTTTGTTTGTTGGCATCTAATGATTGCCAGTTGTAAGCCGCCCTGAGTCTCCCCTCAGGGGTTCAGAAGGACGGGATATAAATGTTCAAAATAAGTAAATAAATAAATACATTGAGTTCATGCCCAACTGAAGCAGGGTGGGCTAAACATAACACAGGAACTCAGAACAACAGAGACATTACTGGTAGAAGAATAAAGAACTCAAATGTGCCTCCTTTGTGAAAGTATAAAAGTGGCTGGATATCACCCAAGGTATTCAGAAAGAAGGATTCTGTTCAAGTAGCAGGGAAAGAGGAAGAATTGCAACAGTATACACAATCTAAGTGCTAAAGAACAGAGGGACAAAATGTCATTTGAGGAGATTAAAGCTCTCAGAATTCTCTAGTTGGTTTAGCCACTCACTAAGCTGGCTGGAGAATTTGGGAGCCACCGTTCAAAACAAGGGAAATTTTCTAAGAAATTTCTAAAAACGCACCCATGCACTTTAGGGTATGGAAAGGAGGAGGATTAGGACTGCTGGCTAATATATGTGAATCAGACAGTTGTTATGATACATCTTAAATGAAACACCGTTATCAGCCATTTTTAATGTAATATCTCATAATTTGTTTTTATGGTGTACACTGTAATGTTTATTCATGTTTTGGTTTTTATGTCTTAATGAATTGTCATTATTTTTATTTTATTTTGATACTTAATTCCTTTGTTGTAAGTTTTCTGTTGTTACTCTCCATTATTTTGTATTATTTTGATGTGTCTGTACCTATTTTGAGACATTAAATGTTTGCCTGTTTATGTGTAAACCACCCCGAGTCCTTCTGGGGAGAGAGGGTGGTCTAGAAAAAAGTATTATTATTATTATTATTATTATTATTATTATTAACTTGACACGGGAGCTATAGACCCAAAGTGGACCAAAAGACATCTCCTGTAGCCACTCTACCAATAAAGCAGCATGGAATGCCATCAATATTTGCTGGAGTAACCTCTGAGGATTACAGGTCACAACCTGTTTCAACACTTTGACAGAAGTTGCCTGCACTTTAACCTTGGGATGGAGGAGTCACTAGCAGCATTCCAAAGTCAACATTTAAGGCCATCATAAACGTGTGGGAAGGTTAAGTTAGCACTGGAGCACACACACAAGGAGAACTCAAAACGATCTTGTGATGAAACAGAATTATTTCCTGGCAAAATTATGTTTTGTTTTATTTCTCCTAAGTAGACAGGACTATTTAACACTGGATAGCCCAACTTCCACAATCTATGGTAAAGCTAAAACCCAATTTCTTTAAGGTGGGAACGTCCCACCATTTTCCAGGACATTTAAGCAATATAACAATAAAAATCTTCACAGAATTGTTAGTTTCAACTACCATAAGGAGTATCACAAATTAGGCCAAAGGTTGGAGAACAAATGGGCAAATGATCCACCAATATTATACACAAGACTATATCTGGATAGCAGCAGTTACCAATGGTACTATGGTGTTGAACAGACACTAATAAAGGCGAAAGGGTAATGTGTCAAAAGGAAGGCACGTCAAGTAAACCCTTATCGGGACTGCCTTCCATCTGAAAATCTATGTCCTCATTGTGAAAGACCATGTGGATCCAGAATAGATCTCTACAGGCCCCTCAGACCCACCGTCAAGACTTTACTCTTGGAAGACAATCAAACTCAGTCGCGAGTGATCACCTATGATGATGATACCACAGGGAAAGAATAATTTCCCCATGCCTTGGTTGGAAAGATCACCTCATCTGACATCAGAGCTCAATGAAAAGGTATGAACCGAAGTCATATCTGATGCCCAAGGACTGCAAAGAGAGCCACACCATAGCAAAGTGAGCTAGAATGTCACGTATGATAGACAAATTGATTATCTCAGAAAATGGTCAAAATGGCCACTATAACCTGTTTTGCATTTATGGTGCAAAGTGGTTGCAACAAGCTTATATTTTTTCAACATCTTTCCCACATCAAATCTATTCTATGTCATCAGTCCTCTTTGCTTTTTGAAGATAACACACCCCAAGGAAAGGAGCTTATGTGCCAGAGCTTTCAAGACGCTGTGTCACATTGTTTGGTCTGTCTGTCTGTCCAACATAGTAAAAGGTTGCAACCAGAGTTCATGATGATGTGTTAGAAAAGAGAGGAATCAAAAGCCATTAAGAACCTATTGGCCTGGATCAGGGGTCCTCAAACTTTTTAAACAGAGGGCCAGATCAGAGTCCCTAAAACTGTTGGAGGGACGGATTATAATTTTTTTAAAAAATGAATGAATTCCTATGCACATTGCACACATCTTATTTGTAGTGAAAAAAAAACAATAATTTAAATGAAGAACAATTTTAACAAATATAAATTTATTAGCATTTCAATTGAAAGTGGGGGCCTACTTTTGGCTGATGAGATAGGATTGTTGTTGTTGTTGTGTGCTTTCAAGTCGTTTCAGACCTAGGTTGACCCCGAGCGAGGGCCGGGTAAATGACCTTCAAGGGCCTTAGTTTGAGGACCCCTGGCCTGGATGATAGCATCTCCTCCACCTTAGGACTCCAGCATAGCTGAAAAGGGTTTAAACATGTTTTCCTGCTACACTGATTCAGAGAGCAGAATACAAACCACCTTGAAGAAGAATCAAAGTGTCGTTTCCTGAACAGCTGCAGTGAAGAACAGTGAAGGCTTTCCCAGTATTGTTGTAGGCACAGATTGAGGAATACCTACAGGAAACCAGGGGAGTTGAGACTGCTCTGAAGTGGGATCCCACGGCTGGCCTAATTGGGCTTTCTTCCTCCATGCACTCAGACCGAAAGGCAGTGGGGATGAAGAACAGTGTTTCTACTAGTGACTACTATGCAACCTTGAAGGAGTCGGTCAATTAATCGGAAAATCAGGGTCAATGAAGGAATATGGAGATTATTATGGATTATGATTATAATTTTTGATATGGCTCAGTCCATAAACAGAAAAAAGCACCAATTCAGAGGGCCAGTGGCCTCTGGCTGCCACCACCACTTCCTCATCCAGAATCCAAAATGCCCAGAAGAGGCACAGCTACAGAGAGAGCAGAGAGTGTCCAGTTCCCCTAGGACACTCTCTACTTAGAGTAGGGGATGGCTCCATTTTGAATAAGAGTTAAGGTACTGTACTCATACTGACCAGTGGATAAGTCGAGGCAGATTTTTAAATTTTATTTTTTGACTAAAATTTCTAGGTTTATACATGAGTAAAGTGGTGCAGTGGGTTAAACTGTTGAGCTGCAGAACTTGCTGACTAGAACGTCAGTGGTTTAAATGTGGGATGGAGTGAGCTCCCATCATTAGCTCCAGCTTCTGCCAACCTAGCAGTGCGAAAACATATAAATGTGACTAGATCAATAGGTACCGCTCTGGAGGGAAGGTAATGGTGCTCCATGCCGGCCACATGACCTTGGAGGCATCTACAGACCAAGCCGGGTCTTCGGCTTAGAAATGGAGATGAGCACCATCTCCCAGAGTTGGACTCAACTAGATTTAATGTCAAGGGGAAACCTTTACCATTACCTTTAGGGTAGATCATCTGAACGTTGAAGTGTAAAGTCCTCTATCAAATTCCTGGCCACTATAGAGCAAAGATGTCTCTATGCCCAATGAAAAAAGCTGATCACTTTACTGTGGAAATAAGGGGATAGTTATCTCATGAATTAATACCTGTCAGCAAGTTCTGCAGCTCAGCAGTTAAACCCGCTGTGCCACCCTATTCATGTACAAACCTAGAAATTTTAGTTAAAAAATAAATCTGCACGGATATTACTGGGCATACTTTTCAGTTGATGGTATGTAGCAAGAGGTCACACCTGAACAGGCAGGGGATGCAGGCCTTAAAATCTAAGTATGTTGTATTTTTTTGTGATTTAAATAGGGGTTCATGTAATGTTGAGAGACACTGAGACATTATGGTGCTGGCTGCAGGCTTACACTTAGTTGGATGTTCTGGGTTGTGAGCTCCTCTGCCTTCTTCTCCAGGGATGAGACCCATAGCTTGCGTTTCTGACGGCAGCGGGAGGCTGCCGCACGGTTGCGCTCCAAGAAACGCTGCCTTCGTTCATCAGGATCCTCATCCAATGTGCGTCTCCGTCTGCCTCCTGTACTAGGAGTGGGCTGAGCTGGGGAAACCTGGCAATGAAGGAGAGAAAACGAAAGACGAATAAGCAAGGTAGGCCAGTTCAGTTGTCTTGGGGAAGTCTGTTATGAACTCAGCAAGTAATTAGGATCAACACTGAGGATTGAACATTTTTTTCTAGTTCTTGATCTCACATCATCCTTATGAATTCTCATCAGACCATTTAGGTTGAAAAGAAACATAAGATTTTTCCTGCACAATTAAAGTGATTCAAAAGCCATTCAAACATCAACCAAATTCATACTGTATAATGAGGACTACATTACACTCTTTAAAAAAAGATTTCTGCAATGTGATAATCACATTGAATTTCTTTACATTTGCACTCCGTCAGTTGTGGAACCAACACATCTACAAATCTTCTGGCATCTTTCTGTTATTTCATTTAAAGAACAAAGGAAATTAACTGTCGAGAGCAAAAACAGATCTGCAGGTTTTCTGCCTCAGTTCAGCCCCATCAAATGGGATCTATAACTAGGCATGCCTGTTTACACCTCACTACTATTCATTATCAAGTCAGGCAGCATATGGATAGTAAACTTCTGGAAGCTTCTGTCTAGCTGACAGAGCAGGTGGCAGTCTTGATGAAATGCTGGCATTTGGTGAGCTGGCAGGACCAAATGGAGCAGCATTTAAACCCAAGTAATTAAAATAGGAAGAGAGACAGAGGGAGTGAAGATCTCAAAATACTGCCTTTTATATTCCAGACTGTGTCCCTATCGCTTATGATGCCTAAGTGATAAATGCCTGGCAGCGACGATGACAGAAGCAACATAATATAGGCCAAGGTATCCAGGAACTCTGTGCCAACATCTCATAAATTCTGCAACTAGAAAACCTAAACTTGACAACTGGAAAAACATATGGATGTAAGATAAACACACATAATATTTCTATACTATACTTATTTTTATTTGCAGAAACTATTGCTATAATAAAGGATTTTGGTCAAATTGGAAGAATCAACAAAAAACAGAAAAGACAATGGGTCTTCACCAGATTGTATAACCAGCAGCTCCACATGGCTGTAAACACAGCTTTCCATGGATTTGCTGACCACTGTTCCATCATCAGATCCCTCACCACCACCAATTTCTCACTGATTTCATACAGAAGACACTTTCCCTATTGCTGGAAGCAGCAACAAGAGAGATTTGGGTCAGAATTTGCTGCTGGAAGGGTGGAGAGCCTCTATTTCATTTCTGCTTTCACAGATCTTTTTATGCAAATTGAAGGACTAAGAAAAGGCTCTCCACTTTCTCTGAGACTGCAGACTATAGAGAGGAGGTGGTCCCCAAGTCAGCATCATATATGTGCCCCAGAACAGCAAGGCATTGTGTAAAGTACTAGTTATTTCCTGGTGACTAAAAGATGGCCGGGCTGACATGTTTTTGCAGAGATTATTATTTTGAGAATAAAAGAGCCATAAATGCCTTCAGTGTGCACACATTCATCTATTTGTCTCTGAAAACATATTAAAGTGCTTCAAAACACTGCAAATTATGCCCAAGCAGATCAGAATGGCAACAGAACAAGAAATCTTGCATATAGTGTAAGTTGTATATCTCACAAGTGATACTTGTCAGTCTTTAGCTCTCTTAGACACAAGCTTATTGTCTCTAGTCACCATCTAGAGACCTGGACAATTTTCTATTCCTACTTCTGATAAACTGCTCATTTTATGTGATGGCTCCCATTTCCTGAATTTAACAGAAGCCATTCGATTTGATATTAGCTGTGCTCATTGTATAAAGTTGCAGCCAAGTACTTTTTCTAGGGCAGTGGTGGGGGAATTTTTCAGTTCTTTTGAACAATAACTCTTATCACCCTTACCATGATGGCTGAGGTTTCTGGGAATTGAATGCCACAACACCTGGAGGGTCAAAAATTCCCCAGCCCACTTTCCAACACACAGCATCCCCTCCCAAACCCTAATCCATTCCAACTTGAAACACACCTGTGGCTGTGCAGGGGAAGGTGCATCTGGGTGCTGGATGAGTATTTGACCCTGTTCTGGATGAGATGTCACCATGGTGCTGGCAGAACCCACTACCATGCTGTTTCCATTTAGTGAGGAAGTCAGGCTGGCTTTTAGTCTCTATGAGGGGGAAAAACAACACAAGATCAACAGTGGTTCAATGGTTTCTTTCCAGATGGAGAGTGAGAACAGGCAAAACTCTTTAGAATGGTTGAATAGACAGTTTTCATCGCTCATCAGTACAATTAAGCTTCTCCCAACTGCATTCTCTTTCAGGCAAGTAGCCAGAGGGCATGAACTAAAGATCTACTTCATATGTGGTTGCAAAAAACCTTTTTTAAAAACTGAAAGTGTGCAAGTTTGAGAGGGAAATGCTCAAGTTATCTCATCTTTTAAAGTAAAACAAACACACATAACCTGAGAATTTTGGGGATATTAGCCCATCCTGGAAAGGAGACAGACCCTCCTCTCCCTTGTACAATAGATTCCACACTGGATGATTAGTCTAATGAACTTGGAACATATTCACCATTATACTACTATATCAAGGAACTCACCATTTTGGCTTCTGAGTGCATTGAAAGGCCTGATGGTGAAATGGAGCCACTGCTGATAATTGGAGGACCTGGAATACCAGGAATGTTTGGCACCACAGACATAGGCCTTGCTAGCTGTATGTTGGAAAGAGGACAGAAAACACACTGTGTTAAACAACATTTATAATAAGCTCTTTCCAGGCATGTAGCCGAGGGCGGGGGCCTTGGGGGGCTTCAGCCCCCCCCCCCCCCGAAAATCTCATGGTGGTCTGCGAGAAGGCCTTACTGGTACATTATTTAAACTGTTATGTTTATTCATATCATGATCTGATCACCATGCTCAATATATCCCATATGCATGGGGGTATTGGGGTAAATACAAAAGGTTTGCTAGGGTAGACCCTCTTTCACTCAGACTCAGCCCCCCCCCCCCCCCCCCGAAACAAAATCCTGGCTACGGGCCTGGCTCTTTCTTTAAAGGAGAAATAAACAAAAATCTTGCTAAAATAGTATATATGAGAAATCAACAAACATTGTAGCTGCTTTACAGAGAGGAACAGTGCTGATAGCAATTCAGAAGAGGAAGCAATTCAGCAGCAGTTCAGAAGAGGAAGGAACTGCAGCAAAAAGGAAAATTTTAATGTCTTTCCCCCTTTGTCTCTGAATCATTTTACAAACTAAACTATAGAAAATCCCAGCAGATATCCACAGCAATTCCTGGCTCTGTTACCCAGATAATGCTCCCATATGATATTTTTATCCAACCTTCTGCAATGAGAACTTCCAGATGTTTTGGATTTCACCTCCCATCAGTTCAAACCAGCATGGCCAACTACAAGGAATGCTAGGAATTGTGATTCAAAACATATGGAGAGGCTTGGATTGGCGAAACTCTACTTTACTTGTTAAAATTGTAGGTAATATGTGCAACATCTAACGTATATTTAAGAAGATGCTGGATCAGGCTGAATGTACACCTAGGTCAATATTCTGTTTAAATCACTTGATATGGAAAGTTCAACAGCTGGATGTGAGCCTCCATTGCACCAAAAATATGCTAGGTGTAATGCAGCCCCCCACAAACATTTCTTTATTAAATTAGATGCCGCTGGTAATAAGAAAACTTAAGAGGTTGCTGTGAGTTTTCCATGCTGTATGGCCATGTTCTAGAAGCATTTTCTCCTGATGTTTCACCCACATCTATGGCAGGCATCCTCAGAGGTTGTGAGATTGGCCTCACATAACAACTCTGATAAGACCAATCTAAGTGTAGTGTTGTGTATTGGGAAAGCTCAGGTTCAAATCCTCGCTCACCTACAACACTTACTGGGTGAACCTGTGCCAATAATCCTCTTTCAGTCTATCCTACCCTCCAAGAAATTTGTGGTAATCAAATGAAATGAATAAAGCATATACATTGTCTTGAGTTCTTAAGAAATGTTAAAAAAGATATTGTATTTCCACTCAGCTGATTCCAATTTCCAAAACATGGCAGAAAGGATGCAAAGCACATCCTCAAAAGAAAGCAGCTCTGGATTTGCACAGGTTGTGTCACCAGCAGCAGAAACAGTGCAAACTACACCAGACGGCATTCCCATTTGTCACTCACAGATCCTGAGAAAATTCATATGCAGAAATAAAAGCTAAATAACCATTTCATGCCCCAAAGAGTCCAGGAAGGGAGGTTTTCTGGCTCGGAGAGGCCAACATGTTCTCTGTAAGCTTGAATGATTTCAGCATAGAGTTAGCTAATCAGGGAGCCTGCTGGTCCCAGCCCTGGAACCAACAGAGTCAGCCATCTGCTCAGACGGAGGCTCAGTTTTGAGGCCTGATTGCCCTACAATGTGTTTGGCAGGCACTGCTACCTTGCAGGCAGCCATCCTCCTCCACCCCCGTATCCTCCCCTCCAGCCCTGGCTTATCTCACTCAGAGGGAGAAAGAGAGAGACGTCAATTTTGCAAATTAAAGTGCCCACATATGCTCTGCAAAGGGAAAAGCTGTCCCTTCCTTTATCAAAAGCAACTGGGTGGGAAGCTTCTATTACCGATATGACAGAAGGCATCTGAACGGGAGGGCCAGGGAGGACAGGCATGGTCTGCCCATTCACAAGGTGCATGACAAGTGGTACAGAGCTGGTTGGAGACCTGGAAGAAAACAAACAAATAAGCAAAAGGTACTAGGAATCCCACTCATGCGTAAAACCACAGATGTCTCCTAATGCATTCTAGATGCAAGGCATTGTCTCAGAATCCAACAGCCCACTTATCCACCTTTTTGCAACTCTTCACAGATTACTGGGATTTCACTGCTATGGAAAATAAGGGTCCTTTATCCCAGGATCTGATCCCAGGTTTTCTGCTTTAAACTGGATTATATGAGTCCACACTGCCAGATAATCTGGGATAAACAGAAACCTGGGAGCAGATCCTGGGATAAAGGGCCTGTCTGGAGGGGCCCATAGTCGGTAGAAAAGTATAAAATGAAGATGTTTCAAGAAATACACCCACCAGAAAAGGCATGAGCTGAAAAAGCACAGAGACTACCAAATATGTACTATTCTGCTCTTGCTCAGAACTGCAAGCACTTCTGACTTTCCTATCATTTGGCATGACAATTACAATGCTCGAATCAGTGATCTATGTTGGATCTAAAAGTGAAAACTGAGCCAACTTGCAGCACCACTTGGTCAGCTGTAGAAATAGTACCTATCCCCCAGGGTTCTGTACCACTGCAACAGAGACACTCAAAGGGTTATGCAAGGTGGCCAGTAGCTTTTTAACCCAGATCAGACCATCAGTGGGATATTTGTCACTTTTTACACTTAAATGAAGCAAAAGACAAAGAAAAATCACGAGTCCTCTTGAAAAAGTGAATTCTCAATTCTCAAGAACTGCCCTAACCTGACAACCACTTGTCCTATATATATGGGGGAAAATACAGAGTGTCAAGATTCAGGGGTGGAATAGGAATTGTCTGCACGTACCTAAACTAACTTAAGCAGGCAGAATCTGGGAAGAAGTTATTGCTTAGAACAGTGGTTCTCAACCTGTGGGTCCCCAGGTGTTTTGGGCTACAACTCCCAGAAATCCCAGCCAGATTACCAGCTGTTAGGATTTCTGAGAGTTGAAGGCCAAAACATCTGGGGACCCACAGGTTGAGAACCACTGGCTTAGAACAAGGCATGGAGTCACTGGCCTTTCAGGTGGATCTTTTGGATCCTGGCCAGCATGGCCAACAGCAAGAATTGTGGGAATTACAAACAAAATGTCTAGCAGGTCAAAAGTTCCCCGCCCATGCTTTTGAGAGAGGATCAAACTAGACATTACCTATAAGAAATCTGTATGTGTAAGCATGTAAGTGGGTGAGAAAAAGAAAGGAGGCCTACACAGCTGAGGCATGGAAAAGTCTGGAAAGTGCGGCAATGCTTCTTTGCCATTCTGAGGTTAAAGAGTGTAGCCGGGAAAAATTAATGTTTAGAATCTCTTCTAAACGCTAGATAGGAGGAGCAAAAAACTAAACAAGCATGGAGGCCAGAAGTCAGAGCTCTCTAAAAAGGAGGAGACTGGAGGTCTCATGTTTTTCCTGAGAAAGCACCCAGGTACAGCAAGAAGTGATGTGGGAGAGGAGATAGTGGTTGGAGCCTTGTGGGAAACTGCATAAGACAGAGCTTAAGACTGCTTTTTCTAATGTTCTCTACCTTTAATTAGGAGACAAAGTGCAGTAACAACCAAGTGCTTGGAATAGTAAGATGCTATTCTTGAACAGTTCTTGCACAGTTCTATATATCACTGCCATCCTCCACAAGACCTGTAATAATGTGATCTGAAGGAAAGTTTGCCGATTCATTCAATAGGTAACCAAATGGTTAGTTGTAAGCACCTTGAAGCCCACAGCCTCTTTCCCATTTCAACCACCATCCTGTTACTTACCCAAGTTGTCTGTTGGAAGGTGGCGCCTGGGTGATGACTGAGGTTGGGGAAGGTAGAGTAGGGTGGATGGGATCATATCCCAAGTGCAGCGGCAGTGACCCAGGACGTACAATGGTTGGAGTTGGCGTAGAAATGATCACAGGCTTTGAGACGCTCTCCTAAAAAATATGCACACATTCATTGCCAGATATTCTCATGTAATGTGACTAAGTACTTATCCCTCTTATCCTATCTGCAGAATTTCCAAGACACCTCTCATGCAAAAACAGAACCAATAACTCATTTCTACAGACAAAAACCAAAAATCCTAAATCCACAGGGCTAAAGTCCTCAATTCATCTGCAAAAATGTCTCAGGAACTTCTAAACATTACTGTCAGAAATCCTTGTATATGCAAATTTTTTTAAAAAAGCAGAAGCTAATAGTTTATGTACATTTGGGGGTTCTCTAACCCTTATGCCACCAAATCTGGGATTCCTTTCAGGAAATCACACCACTATGGCAAAATGTGTAGCGTCTGCTCCTTAACCCACCAAACACGAAGACTTCTGCAGTGCTTATCCCTGAAATTACCAAATGTGGGATTTCCCTGAACCTCACCTCTTTTACCATGTAAGAATTTCTTCCTGTCATCCTTTGTGTGACACCAATTGTTGGGATCATATAAGGTTCCTATGAGCATTTATATAATGTCTATCCCCAGTAGACACCACTCTTCATCTAAGTAGTGCTCTCAGAGGCCGAAAGTGTATAGTTGCTCCTCTATGTTTGCAGTTTTGCTTTAAAATGTTCTCTCTAGGAATCTCTAGGACGTCCAGTGTGATTCTGTGGTCAACTTCTTCCAATCATGCTGGAGGACCTAGAAATTTCTAGAGAGAACATCTCTCTAGGAATGTCAAGGTCCTCCAGTGCAATTGTATGGTCAGCTTTCACTGGAAGCCAAATCATGATGGAAGACTTAGAGATTCCTAGAGGTTAAAAAATAGCAATTTATTTGTGTTTTTTCACTTTCATGGTGGTCCTGTGCCCCAGCCCCAGCAAACATGAAGGGTTGAATGTATAAAGCCAAAAATAATTATTTATGTACAAAAGTTAAGCAGAACAAATAAGAATAAATATTTATTACATTTAAAAATATGACGTACTCCCTCTCTCACTCTTCACTAGCTAATTCAAAACCATAACAACCGCTCATATATTCCTATACCTAGCTGACTCTTAATCATATATATTTGCCAGTCCCACAAAGACTGTCCACACTCCCAAGCGATCCCAGCAGTCTAACTAAAATAAATGCTAATTGTCTAATGGCCATTCACCAACTGTCATTCACCAGCCTTATGCGAATCTGCTAAAGCATTCCACCAATTAGCATTCAATCCAACATTCCTTTCCACGCACCAATAGCTCCTTACATTTTATTCTATTATATGTCCGAATAAATGAAATATTATTTCTTAATACAAATTCATGACATCCCAGTACTCCTCACAATTTATCACAGTGCGGTAGCATTTTGTTTGTAGGTCTCGTTTCTACAGGTTCCTAGGACTTGTAGTTTAATAGTAAGGTATTGTATGACCCCTATATCTGTGGGGGGATAGCTTCCCGAATTTACAATGCAAACTGGAAACCATGGATAATAGCAACCTTACTGAAATGAACAACATCCATCAGAAGTTACCACAGAGTCCTCCTGAAGGACCTAGAAATTTCCTAGAGCGGTGTGTTCTCTAGGAATCTGCTAGGGTCTCTAGGGCAACTCTTTGGTAACATCCCGCAAAAGCATACCATAGAAAATAAACCTGGAGGACCTAGAAAAGTCTTATTCTGCTGGATGGGGTAAGTCAAACTGCAAGTACTGTGGTGCCACAGGAATGGGGTTCTTGCTGTAGTTAGAAGTCTCTGGTTAAAGAACTCTAATGCCTATTCCCCTAAATGATGTGTCAGTCCAACATAACTGAGTAGTGCACAAGTTATGCACTATGTCAGAAATCCAAACTGCTTAAGTTGAACATGACCAGAATAAACACGGAAATTATTATTTGCTATATATATAGCACAGAAAAATCAAGAAAGAAGATAGAAACACAACTACCAGAGAGCTCACCTTCTCCTTGGCCTGTGGTGATCGTGGACTTGTTACTGGACTATCTGGAGGGGAAGAGTCCACCTCAACTGGCTCTTCTTCTTTTATTTTGACATCTGGAGTCGAGGGGAGAGACATATCCAGAGGTCCAGAACACTATGGAAAGAAAGAATACATATTTCGGTGTTTAGCCATTATGTGACTTGTCTTTTGCATGCACACAAGATGTTTACAGGATACTGCCTCTTATCTTCTAGGACTGCTTGGGATAGTCACCAACATTTTCCTGCAGGATGTATTTAGCCCCCCCCCTCCCCCAACCAACCAACCCTAGGTTTTAAAGGTTACTAAACGGCTGAGGAACCTTTGGCCTTCCATATGCTGTTTTTATTAACTCTGTATTAACTCTTCCATTTAAAAATGAGGACACAAACTAATATTATTGATGCTATGTGTGCAGAAATCTCTAGATAAGGTGCTCTCAACATTTTTAGTCTGGAGAATGCTTTGAAATAATTTTCAGATCTCAGGGAACCCTTATATTGAAATTATTAATCTGTAGCTAAAAAGATGTTTATTCTTTTAACAATCACAACGTCTTGTGGAATCTCTAGTGACCTCTGGTGGAAACCTAGGGCTCCAGGAAGCAATGGTTGAGAAACCCCGCTCTAGACTGAGAAAGTGTATTTTTTAAAAAGTGGAGAAGTTAGCTCTACACCAGAAAGAAAATGTTGAGTTATATAGAGGTTCTGGCAGCTCATATCATAACTGGTTATTAACAAAAAATGGGGTATTTTTTCAGATTCTTTAAGTTATGCTTACATGTGCTATTCTTTCTTCATCCTTTTTAAAAAAAGCTTTGTCAATATAAAAAGAAAACTTAAGGTCACATAAGGTGCCCTCATTCATAGAAGCACTATATCTTACTATAAAAGTCATTTTTGAATCATTGCTTGATCTGTCAAAAGTCAACAAGAGAGCTATGCAAGTTATTACAGATCTATGACCAATCCACTGCAATAAAACCTCGCCATATGCCTACGCCTGGCAGCATGCCACCACACCTATTTTCATTTCAGCCGTGCTGCATGGCCTTTTCCAATTTTGCCCACAGCTGCTTGTTGCCTTTCTAGATCAAGGAGTAAGTGCAACAGGAAATGGTAAAGACCAGGGGCATGGTGTGCTCCTGGAAAATCAGGAAGGAAAAAGAGCACATCAAATGGTCCTGGAGTGATCAAAAACAGAAGCACCACACCTCCTCAAAGTCCTCGGATGGTAGCTTGCCAAGATAGATAGATAGATAGATAGATAGATAGATAGATAGATAGATAGATAGATAGACAGACAGACAGACAGACAGACAGACATGGGTGGGGGAGAAATATAATGATCTTCTGAGAAGCAATAGGTATGTCAGCACGAGCAAGATGTTCTTGGAGGTATTCAAGGCAGGAAATTGTCTTTAGTGGCTTTCTAGAAAACATGAACAAGAAACACTTAACTGAATCATATAGCTTTTCCTGTTTCTTATTTCCCAGTCTTTTGCTTAATGCCTTCTATGATCTCTGCTGTACTACTTCTTGTGCACAGACTATCCGGAAATAAAATTATCATTATGCAGAATGCAGTGGTCACCACAAGGGAACAAATGCTGGGTGATGCTACCGAGGCGAAAGTAGCAGTGGTTCCAACTGTTCTCCTCTGGCACCTCAAACTCCTCATTCTGCATGCCCTAAGCAAGCCTGCAAGCCTAGGTAAAGTGAAGGAATATGCCCTTACTAGCAAGGGTCAACATCTTATCTGTCTATTGTAGACAGAGCTGAAGGGGTTGTTATTGTCAACTGCCTTCAAGTCAACTTCGACCCTAATAGTCCTCCCCAAATTGCTCCATTCTCAAAACAATCTTGCTCAGATCTTGTGGCTTCTTTGATTGAATACATCCATCTGCAATGCATCTTTAAGCATGAATTTTAAACTCATGTCATGTGTTTTGATCTCTGTGCTGCGTGATTAATGTGTATTTTACAGAAATGCTTTGATCTGTATCTTTTAGGAAACTGAATTTTAATGTGTCTTTGTAGAATTTTTATAGTATTTGTGTGTTTTTAACTGTGCTGTGACCCGCCTCGAGCCATGGGAATAGGCACGTAAGAAATAATAATAATAATAATAATAATAATAATAATATTTTTTCATGCTGCCTCTAAGCAGTGAGTAATGTGTTCTCATTGGATGCCCAAAATAAGACTCCCTCAATTTAGTCAGCTTGGTTTCTACTATCCTTTTAGCAGTTCACAGTATCTGTAGAATTCTTTTCCAGCATCATATCTCAAATGAGTTAATTTTCTTCCTATTAGTTTTCTTCACTGTTTAGTTTTCATAGCCATACACAGAAATGGGAAATACAATGGTTTGGATTACCCCAAGTAGTATTCAATGATACATCTTTAAACTTCAAGATCTTATCTAGTTCATTTATAGTTGCCCATCCAAGTCCTAGTCTTTTTCTGGTTTCTTAAGTCTCCATTTGGATTAACACTGAACCAAGAGGTGGTAAATCTTGAACCATTCCTATGTCTTCAACATCTCCTTTAAAGTTATATAAATAATCTATGCATATTAATTTTGTTTTGTTAATGTTCAGATATAAACAAAGTTTTGCATTTTTGTCTTAATTTTCCTCAATAATCATTCCAAGTCAGATTTTTTTCTACCTTATGCAGCTAACTGTTTGAGACACCCCTGCTCCTTAAATCCATGACTTTTTAAAAATCCATCTCTAACAGTTCTTCGTGAACTACACTACACCTTTCCTGGACAGTGGTTACTGCTTCATCCTTCCACTTGTCCAAGAGAAGACCAGGATCATCAACCCTGACTGGTAGTGGATCTCCAGGTCTCTGGATATAACACCTTTTGTACCCTACTGTGTGTAAACATCCAACAGGGATTAACACAAAGACTTTCATTAGCCTTGCACCGAGGGATGCTCTGAATGAGAAGGACATCACTTAAAAAACAGCACATCCAGGAACATCCCCATTTTCTCAACTTAATTACAACCAACTCAGTGGCTGGAACTATCCAGTCCTCCCTCCAAAAAATCCCACACAAACTAAAACTAGCACTAGCAACTGGACTTGATTGAGCCAAATGTTCAAAGCATCTCATGAATGCGCCCGGCCGCGCCTGCCAATTTTTCTGAATAGCAAACCAGCTGGATTTAAAAATCCAGGCAATTCTAGTTGGGGTAATTCCTTCAGTCTGTCTGAAACTAGCCAAGCTTTAAAATGCTGCAGTCTCCTGCTGGAGATCAGAAATTTTAGAACAAATCATATTTAACAAGAAATAAACTTCCAGCAATCCATAAGTTGTAGCAGCAGCTATTAAAATGGTACAACAACATTATAATGGGTGGTCTTAACATATAAAATGTCTGGCTAGACTGTGGGTTGTCAATTATTTATACAACAGACCTCAAAATGAAAGTTAATATTCTGTGCCATAACACTACTAATAGTAGGTGAGAAACACAGAGCATATACAAAGGACTTCGACTATAGAAGAAAATGACAGCAAAATCAGAATGCAAGATAAAGACATGGCAAAGAGAACCACTGAATTATTTTTTATCTATTTAAAATGTAAAACGTTAGAAGAATTTGTAGCCACGTATCTTCAAGTTGTTTCCGACTTAGGGCACCCCTGAAGGGTTTGCCATGGGATTTTCTTAGCTATATTAGTTTAGAGGTTTGTCTTTGCCTTTGAATATCTGAAAGTTATCATCTATACTCTAAAAAGAAAAAGAAATGTCCTTTTTAGTGATTTTTAGATGCTAAACATCCTTATTCAATCAGAAGTTTAATCTATTTTATCAACTTAATTTTTTTTTTTGTTCTAACTTCACATTTTGCACCAGATAGTTTTTAATATACTGACTGCATAAGGAGGAGTATTTTATGGGCAGATCGACAGGATAACAATAATAATTTAATTTATTGTTGAAGGTTTTCATGGCCGGAATCACTGAGTTGTTGTAAGTTTTTCGGATTGTATGGGCATGTTGCAGAAGCATTCTGTCCTAACATTTTGCCTGCATCTATGGCAGGCAATCTCAGAGGTTGTGTGGTCTGTTGGAAACTAGGAAAATGGGGTTTTATATATCTGTGAAATGTCTAGTGTGGGAGAAAGAACTCTTGTCTGTTGGGGGTAGGTGTGAATGTTTCAATAGGCTACCTTGATTTGTTGGAAGGTGATTAGCTGTCCCTGATTGTTTCTTGTCTGGAGTTCCCCTGTTTTTTGAGTGTTTTTCTTTATTTACTGTTATGATTTTAGAGTTTTTTAAATAATAGTAGCCAGATTTTGTTCATTTTCATGGTTTCTTCCTTTCTGTTGAAATTGTTCACATGCTTGTGGATTTCAATGGCTTCTCTGTGTAGCCCGACACAGTAGTTGTTAGAGGGGTCCAGCACTACTGTGTTCTCAAATAATATGCTGTGTTCAGATTGGTTCATCAGGTACTCTGCTATGGCTAACTTCTCTGGTTGAAGTAGTCTGCAGTGCCTTTCATGTTTCTTTATTCATGTCTGGGTGCTATGTTTGGAGTCTACCATATACCATGCAGCTGTGGAGAAGTCTACATAGGGACCACCAAACACAGCACCCAAACACGAATCAAGGAACATAAAAAACACTGCAGACTACTGATTCCACCAAGTCAGTATGCTTTAAAATATATTTATCTGATGCAATCTTTACAGCTTTTGAGCCATGTTGACTGAATGGAGAGGTCTATGTTTTTACAAAATAGTTTTCATTTTGGAAGACAAAAATCAGTTTTACAAATGCTTTGAAAAATCATATCATGTTGGACATCACTAAACTAAAGCATCTATCCGCTTTAAATCCAGTTGCTGCCTCCTGCAGAATTCCGGGGTTTGCAATATAGTGAGGCCCAGAAAGTCTATGACTGAGCAGTTTAAAGGCCTCTCCCTAAATTACAAACCCCCAAATTCTGCAGGAGGCAGCAGCTGGATTTAAAGTGGAAAGATGCTCAAGTGCAGTGTTTCTCAACCTGTGTGTCCCCAGATGTTTTGGTCTTCAACTCCCAGAAATCCTAACAGCTGGTAAATTGGCTGAGCTTTCTGGGAGCTGTAGGCCAAAACATCTGGGGACCCACAGGTTGAGAACCACTGTTCCAGTGTGATGAGGTCCGTTTAAATAAATGAACGCACATGTACACCATAAAATCTCTTTTCTCCCCATTAAAGTGTTCTGGGAAGAAACTTCACATAATGCTTTTACTCTAGTATTTGATGCAAATCTTACATTAGTTTTGTGAAACTTGATTTCAGCTATGGCTGGGATAGCTTCCAAAGTTTGCGACTACGAATTGGGTCAATAAAGTATTTACCTCCCATTTTATGTTTTGACTTAAATCCTGTAATGGTTGCAAGAAAATCCCACACGGAATCAATTCTGTCTGTATCCAGAACTTTATCCTTGCAAACTCTAACCCTAGATTTTTGATATTGTAGGCCTACAGAACAGGCTTATCTCCCATTTATTTTTCTGCAAAGCTTTGAGATCATGACAGCCATGAGACATTACTTCACATTATCAGTGTTTTTGTTGTCATGTTCAACACTCAAACCACTACATCACACTGGGGTAGCAATCAATGTATGAGTAATTAATTTGTGCTAAAGTATAGGCACCCTGGTGGCACAGTGGGTTAAATCGCTGAGCTGAAATTGCTGATCAAAAGGTTGGCAGTTTGAATCCAGGGAGCGGGGTGAGCTCCTGCTGTTATGCCCAGCTTCTCCAACCTAGCAATTCGAAAGCATGCAAGTGTGAGTAGATCAATAGATACCGCTTATGCGGGAAGGTAGCGGTGCTCCATGCAGTCATGCTGGCCACATGACCTTGGGGGTGTCTACATACAACACTGGCTTTTTCGGCTTAGAAATGGAGATGAGCACCACCCCCAAGAGTTGGGCATGACTAGACCTAATGTCAGGGGAAACCTTTACCTGTTTGTTTTACTAATACCAATACTAATAATATCCACTGGTTTTGCATCTTGCACATTATAAATGAGAGTGGCTTTCCTGGAGGAAAGGTCAACAGGCAGAGGGAGGCTCCAACAGCCTACTTCCTGGTATTTTTTAGTTTTCTTTAACGAAATGTGCACAAGCTGGAATTTGCCAAACTGGCTAAGCAAGAAGCAAATTCACTGTTGCCTTATGCTGGTCTGGTCAATGACTGCAGAGATGCCAAAATGAATGGCAAGTGCTTCAGCATTTCTCATTTATTTTAAAGTTATTACTTTTCTTACGTATGCTTGAAAACCAAACATCATAACACTACCTGAATTTAGGTTTTTTTGACGCTTCATGTAGGCTTGGAACATGCAAGAGAACATCTGACAAAATAACAGGAAACAACAAGCAGGAGGTAATTCACTCCAGCTGTAGAGATGAATACCAGGTTTATTCTGAGGAATAATGAGATAATTATTGTACCTTTGACCCTCCCTTTGAGTGTTTCCTTAAAGACTTTCATAGACCATCCTCATTCACCTTTTCTGTGCCTCCTCTATGTTAACACCTTTTTTTGTTTTGTCTTCACCTTAATTCCAGCTGTCTTTTAGGTTGCACAGATTCACACTGGTTTTGGCAACAAAGGCAAAAGCAATGAGTCGATTCATTTCAGGACAAGGACCTCTCAATGTGTTCCACTGTTTATCCATCCTTCTAACAGAAGTCCAGTGGCAGAGAACTGAGCTGCTATTTTGCAGTTTATGGTTGAAGGCCACATTTGTAGGAATGGGCTGGGAGCCCTTCTTCCTCTTGACTATTAGTAGACCCCAAAATCAAGTCCAGTGGTTCAAATATCAAGCCATTTTAGTGCAATCCCTCTGGGCAAAAGTGTACTTTCCACAGCCCATGAGCTACTCAGATTCACACTGCCCATTGGATAGTTGATGTTAATATGCTTCTATAATAAAAAAAATGAGTTTACCAAAGTTGCATTTCTCACCATCTGTTAACCAAACCAGTAAGGCAGAACAGCTGTTTCTATTCAAGATGTCCATAACCATCTGATTTCTAAAAGCAAAAACCAAACCACAAAAACACAAAGGGCCAAAGCTCTGTGCTAGAAGACAGTACTTAACACACAGCTGCTGTCTCTGACTCATGAAAATAGGAAAACAGACTTCTGCCAGAGAAAGCTGTATTGGGGAGGCAGATATAACCAAACTAAGCAGGCCTCTGGATCGACAGTATGTAACTCACTGCTGGACAATAATGGAAAAAAGACAAGAAGTTAGAGAAATCTCTGTGGGCAATGTTTGGGTGATGCCCACTTTTGAAAAACCAATGCAGAACAGTAAGTTTTCTGCAAGCTCTCAATATTTTACATCAATGCTTTGGCCCTTGCCTTTTTCTCATCATCTTCTGTGGCTTTCTTGAAATCATGCTCAAAGGAGCTTGCCAGTTCATTGAAGAGCCCAACTTCCTCGCAATTCTTCAAGAAACGGGTTGGTGTTGGCGTCTGATCTGTTCAGGGAGCAAAATAAAGAGACAGTTAAGAAACAAGAGGAAAAGGATTGTAATACTCACATCCTAGAAAGCTGAGTCACGGAGATTGATTCAAAGCACAGTTTCTTATCACCGAAGCTTTCAGTCTTAATTCCTAGAACATTAAGATTCCTTAATTTATACATCTCTGCAACTTGTACTTTGCAGTCTTACAAAATACACTCTGATCTACTGAAGAGACATGCAGGGAAAGGGAATCTGTAGGGAAAGGCTTTGGGGTTTTTGTCATTATAAGGGTGCAGAATTAGTGCAAATGAACATCCATTGGAAGAATAAAAGTCTGCATTAGCAGTTTGGGTTAGGTGAAGCTGGTGAAAACATGGAAGCAGGAACACGTGTATCTTTGAAGATACAGAAAGAAAATTCTATTTAAAAACAATGATAATGTAAGATTGGTTGAGAAAGGTTGAGAAAGGAGAGTGGTAACTTATGACAGTTTTGATTATAAGGAAAGTCAAAAGATATTTTGCAGTCTCAGATGGTATTATCACATGATCTAAAAGACATGTTCTATAGTCTCATAAAATATCATGTGGCTTAAGCATGGATAATGAGCATTGCACAGCCACACCTAACCAGCTTCCTTGGTCCTCTGGAGCTGGGAAGATTGCGGCTGTCCAAAGGTTGTACTCTTACTTACCTGCTCCAATCTGATTAATGTTGAGGGTCATTGGTATTCACATTCATCAACACTATGGCTGGTATCAATGGCATCACTCATGGCTTTTGAATAAAGAAGTCGACCAACAACTACAGCCATACTTTCCCTAAAAATTAGTCCATTAGATCAAAAGATCTATGGGACATCAATGATCTAAAACAATATTATTTCAAAAACCCTCCCTGATTCCTGCCTTACAATGTCTGTTCTCAAGTACTGCATATGGAAATAATATCTGCTTTATATTTAAAGGGCTGAATATATCCTACTTCAACAAAAAACCAGGTATGCCTTAATAGAAACTACATCACTTAAAGTAGTGCCCCCCCCATATTTACAAATCCCGCAACCATAACACCAGCTGGCTTTCAGAATATAAAACCTGGAAACTGACAAATCTGAAGTTTGGATGATGAAAATACAGCAATATACTATGACATCATCTGTATACGTCTATCCTTATTGTTGTTGTTGCTGCTTGCCTTCAAGTAATTTGGGACTTGTGGTGACCCGAAGGGGAAACTATTCCAGTTTTTTTGTTGTTGCAAGATCTGTTCAGAGCTAATTCTGAGACTGAGAGAGTTGACTTGCCGAAAGTCATCTGGTAGGTTTCCAAGGCTGACTATAGACGCATAGTGTTGGAAGAGACTTCATGGGCCATCTAGACCAACCCCCTGCCAAGAAGCAGAAAATCACGTTCAAAGCACCCTTGACAGATGGCTATCCAGCCTCTGTTTAAAAGCCTCCAAAGAAGGAGCCTTCACTACACCAGGGATTCAAACTGTGGTCTCCAGAGTTTAGACAATTATAATTCTGCAGAAACCACTCCACCTTTTAAAGCTATGCCAGGGAAAAATACATAAAATACTGGAGACATATGAAGCTTCATAAATTAACTACTCACAAACAAACTGCTACAGCAGTGTGGTGAAGTGATTTGAGTGTTGGAAGACCATGGTTTGAATTCCCACTCTGCTAGGGAAGTCCACTGTGTGCCCTTGGGTAAATCGGACTCTTTCAGGCTCAAGGGAGGGCAAAAGCAAAGCCCCTCTGAACAAATATTTCCCAGAAAACCCAGTGATAGGCTAATTAGGGCCACAATAAGTAGTAAACAGCCTAACACAAGTACCACTACCACATTTTTCAAGCTTATTTTCAAATCAATAAAATTTGCTTCCATTTAAAGTGAAATGTGATGTTCTCAAAGTCCCATATACTCTAACCACCTCAAAATTCAGTAAACATGATGGGAACAGTAAAAAGTGAGGGCAAAAGTAATTTGTGTGGGTACAGGTAACTAAGATTTTGCTGGTATACTAGCAAACCCAGGATCACACAGGAATCTTCTGTTTGGACAGAACATTATTGGTGTCAGAGATTTAAAAAAAACTGTTTTGTTCTTATTTGAAAAGACAAGATGTGTAGGCTGATATTTCTATGACATTGCAAATGATAGGAGAGGAGTTCTGAGTGACTCATATGCTTAATCGAATAGCTGCTGGAACAAGAATAAATGATGTGAATCCGGTATCCTTGAAAGGATCATTTATCAGCCTTGCAACATCCAACTGGAGATGGTGGGAGTTGTCAATGTTAGATTACTAAGAGCATTTTCCTTTGGACAAAAGGAAATAAAAAAGGCAGACAAATGCTCTGTTTTGTTCTAACTCTAGCAATTCAAACTCAGCATGTTCTCTTGCATCAGCTCCTTTGTTTGTCATAAGCTCAAAGAACAAGAAGGATTCTGCTACTAACACATTAAAAGTTAGAAACAGCAGCTCTACAAAACAAAATGGACAATCCTGATCTTTTGGTACAGTAAACGTATAAAGAACTGTATTAAGTGCAGCAATTCAGAGGGAAGGGGCCATAGCTCAGGACTCGAGCACATGCCATAATTGGAACAAAGGCACACAATAACAATGGGTAAAGATCCTTTCTTGTCCGAGATCCTGGAGTGAATCACTGCCAGTCACAATAGGCAATATTGTGTGACGTGAACAAATATGGTATCGATCAAAATCCTGTATAAAATCAGGTTATAAGGACTTTCAATAGACTGTTTTATGGAAGAATGGAAGATGTGGCCATTCTTTTGTCAGTGATGCTATAAGGGAAGTTGTCCCACCTAACCAAATGTTACAGGCTTTAGGCAATTCAAAAATCCCAACCCGTTTTCAGCCTAAGGTACAGACACCAAAGAAGCTACAATGTACACAGCACAAAATTTACACAGAGCTTGGAAAAACTGTTTGGACAAGAAAGTCCCGAACTGCCCAGTCAGCAGTGGCTGTGCTGGCTAAGGGATAAAGAGAAATGTCATGCAAAAACAATTCTTCCAAGCCCTGACTTTAATAAAGGGACGAATTCTCAAATTATTTTTAAAAAATGCCTTTTGATAGCCATGTTTAAATATTTGCTGCTCCAACGACTAGGACACGGAGCAACCAATTCAAACTACTGGAAAGGAGATCCCACCTAAATATTAGGAGCTGTTTGATAGTGCAATATGCTGCTTTGGAGTGTGGTGGAATCTCCTTCTGTGAAGGCTTTTAAGCAGAGGATGGGTGACCATCTGTCAGGAGTGCTTTGACTGTGTGACCCTTGGGGTCTCTTCCAATTCTATGGTTCTATGGCTTGGTAAGAGTAAAAACAAAGAACAATTTCCTTCAATAATTGTCAGTTCTACACCTTCTTGCGTCTAAGGGCCCAGAATCCAGGATAGTTGAGAGTACAGGAGTATATTCCTCCCTGTTAACAGTCTACTGCCAAACAATCAGGTAAATTTTTCTGAAATGCCGTATAAAAAGGCTTCATGGACTGCACACGCTGACAGACCCACCTGGGTTTTGCAAAGGCACTCCTAGCAACAGCCAAAGTGCAAGATGAAGTTTCAAATTTATTAACTGACAGCCTAAAAGCTTGAGAGAATCGACACCTGGGACTAGGAGAGGAAGCCGAGCCTGTCAGCTTTTGTTCATTGCACTGAAAAGAACATGAAGAAATGTGAAAGACCTTTCGTTGTAAATCTTTCACTCTCAAGTCACAAAACCAGACACTAATACATAAAGATCTAGAAATCTATCACTTGCCTTCCCCAAATCATCCCAGTTAAATGAAAGTCACAGCATAGATTGAATATGTATTATTTGATGCATTGGGTACCTGATATTGATCTTATAGCTGGGTTGTATTAAATATACTATTTTGTTTTAGCTGACCTAGGTCACAAATACATACCTGCTATGATGACAGAATCTGTCCTGGCAGGACCGAATTTCAGTGTCATCTCATGCTTGAGTTTATGAACCGCCAGGTGGTCCTCATTTGTAAACCTCTGAAATGAAATGTTTGGGGAAGAAACAATAAATGAATAGACACGTTTTGTATGACGCTGTGCATTTCACATTTGCATGTAAAGTGAAGTGTGAATGCCTCAAGACAAAGGCCATATTATAATTCCAAAAAGCTAAGCAAAAAGAGAACAGGACAGAGTGAACACATTTTCTCTTAACAGAATGTGGGAAAACCACAAGTACCAGATAGATTTAATAATAAAAAAATAAGAAGGGAAAAGAGAACAATAGCATGTATTTATTGCCACAAATATGGCCATGTTCTAGAGGCATTTTCTCCTGACGTTTCACCCACATCTATGGCAAGCATCCTCAGAGGTAGTGACCTCACTACCTCTGAGGATTCTTGCCATAGATGCGTGCGAAACGTCAGGAGAAAATGCCTCTAGAACATGGCCATATAGCCCGAAAGGACCTACAGCAACCCAGTGATTCCGGCTGTGAAAGCCTTCGACAATATATTGCAACAAACCTTGGAAATGTGAAATATTGTCCCTGTGATGCTCGGCAAAATGTGTCACTTTATTATTGATTAACACAGAAAGAAATTATTTATAATTGGTAATTGGGGGGGGGGGGCTGGAGGAAGCATCTGTTTACAGCTTGGGTTGTGCTAAGCAGAACTGGCATCTACAAGGCCATTTGGTCTTCCCGTTTACGAATCACAATGGACCTAGCTGGGCCACATCATTGTCCAATGGCTGAAAATACAGAGAAATGCAACTGTACATATGCTATGTTGCATCTTCAGGATGATTACAGGTAAGAATAAAGCCTCTGCCAGTTTCTGGGAATTCTCCCTACAAAATTACATCATACTTGTTTATTATTTATCAATTAAAAGAATTAAGAAAACAGAGGTCCCATCTATCTCTTTTAAACTGGGACAGGAAACTCTGTGTTTGGGAATGGACACTAATCTCCTAGTGAACTTTAAACGGCTTCAGAGCTCTCTACTATGTAAGCATCAAGTGAGGAATTTCACCATGTTTTTAACCCTTCTGAGCTGTTCCCAGAGGCCTTCCTTCTCACCCTCCAAACAAAAAAAAAATGAAAGTCTACATTTAGCTAACTTTCACTTGGAAAAAACACAGCCAAATCCTCCTCCAATTTGATGAAATTTTGCTCCCACCCCTAGGGAATGGTGGGTATTCTTGGTCAGAATTTTTAAAATATTGGATGTCTTTGGGAAGCTTCAAAAGTGGCCTTTAGGGCTACAATGTCTTACTTTATGCTCCATGCCAGCAGAAGAAAAACCATATACTGTATAATGAAACAAGGAAACCCCAACCCTCCTTGAATTGATTTTGGCTCTTCTAACATGCTATAAAAGTTTTAGACAATTTTTCTGGAACCATACTCCATAATTTCATACTGTATGTAGCTTTGGCAATGCCTGGATATGACTTCGATTTATTACGATATTTATATCCCACCCTAAGCGAAAACTATCAGGCCAGCATACAAAAAATCTACTGAAACCAATTTAAAACTCTTTAAAATGATTAAACAGTAAAAGGTAATTTAAACACTCTAAAATATACATTCAATAATATAATAGTTTTAAATAGGTTCAACAAATTATAACCATGCATAAATATGAATTGGATAAAATAATTAGACCTCCAAAGATTTTAATATAATCCCAAGTTTTTGCTTGGTACTAAACTAAAGCCAACTGGATCTCTAAGAGGAGGGCATTCTACAACCAGAAGTCCTATGTTCTCCTATTGCATATTGTTGCCACTGGTGGGACAATCTTCAGAGAGGCACATGAAGAGAGAAGTGATTCTACAATCATTGAGCTCCTAAATGCAAGTAGCAAGGTCATGACAAGCATCCTAGATTTAGTCTATAAGTGTATTGTCTGCCAGAGTAATTCTTTTAAAATTGAAATGCAACAATATCCAAAACAACAATATTTTTACTGGGCCAACCAAAATGCACAAAATAGTATATGATGCAAACTTTCAGAGCTCCACTGGCTTCATCATTAGGCAAATATGTTATAAATGATACAGAAGGGGAAATGATTATGTGAGAGTCACAGGCCTACATTTTATAAAGATGTTGTTTTTCCTCTTGCCGGTTAAGACAATGTGGAGGGATAAAAAATGCAGGCAAAGGTCACTCCCCTTTTCAGCCATGTGGGAGATGAAGAGTCGAAAAATCCAGAGTTGCAAAATTAGCAGCAGAAAAAGTAACTTCGCTTGAGATCTACACTGTTTCTGCAAGGCTATCCACTGACTTTAAAACCATGGCTTTTTGCGATAAGTTCTGGCCAACTGCCTGCAGCTTTCAACTTGTCTTCAAGATCAATACTATGTAGGGAGAACACTTTCCACTAGTTTAAAATGGGAAATTATCTGTTCATGAAAACAGAAACATAGTGTTGGAAAGTCCAATCCCTGCTCAATACAGCATTTCCAACTGAAGCATCCTTAGAAGTACTTATCAAGCCTTTTTATTCCAGAGAAAGAGACACCACCTTCTCTGCCCAAACTGCTCTTACTGTCAAGAGGTTCCTTCCAATGTTCAAATGAAATTTGCCTTGCTGCAACTTAAAACCATTAGATCTGGTTCTACCCCCTGAAACACAGGAGAATAAGCCTCTGCTGTGTGAAAGTCCTTAAGGTATTAAAGAGTATGATCATGTCACACCACATCAGGCTCCTTCAACCTTTCCTCATATGTCTTGTTCTCCATGCCTATTATCATCTTTCTTATCCTTCTATGAACCTTCTCCAAATTGTCTCTATTCTTAAAATGAGGCATCCAGAGTCCCAACTAGTGTCAAATCGAGTGGTACTATTATCTCCCCTTGAAGCTTGTTTATTTATTTATTTAGTGTCAAAAGCCTTGCATACATAAATAAGTTTAAAAACTGATAAAATAAAGGGATCAAAGCAGGTAAATAGTTTTAGACCAAAAATGGGCAACAGCAACTGCATTGTCTGTAGCTTTAAATAGTTCTTCCTCTGTGCATGAAGGAAGGCATTGTGGACAAGCATACAGATGTTGTTGTTTGTTCTGCTCTACAGTCGCACAAGGTGGAGGATTGTTCTAGGTAGTTCCATTTTGCCAGGATGTCTTTTGATCTGCCCACTCCACTTCTGAGTCTGTTCAGTGACTTCCAAGTTGCCCATTCTTGGTTTGCCCCTTGAAGTAATAGCCCTACTATTCTATTAATAAAGACTAACGTTGCATTCACCTACTTTGCTAAAGCATCATTCTGCTGGCTAAAATTCAATTTATGATCAACAATAATCCCAAGGTTCTTTTTGCTGAGCCATCTATTCCCCCATCTATACTTATACATTTGAGTTTTTTTCGCCTAAATGTAGAATTCTGTATTTATCTATATTGAATTTCATTATATTATTTTCTGTTCAATTTGCTAGTTTATCAAGGTCCTCTTAATTCTATTTCTATAAGGTATGTGTCATGTAAAAATGTCTAGACTAGATGCACCCAACATCTAAGGGTGCATCTAGATTGTAAAATTAATATAGCTTGAAACACCTTCAACTGCCATGGCTCAATGCTATGGAATCCACTGCCCTGGAGACTAGGACTCGGAGCAATGGGCCAAATTACAGGAAAGGAGATTCCGCATGAACACCAGGAAGAACTTCCTGGAACTCTTTGCCTCAGAGCCTGGTGGAAGCTCCTTCCTTGGAGGTTTTTAAACAGAGGCTGGATGGCCATCTGTCAGGGGTACTTTGTGCTTTTTCTGCATGGCAGGGGGTCGGATTGGATGGCCCATGTTGTCTTTTTCCAACTCTATCGATTCTGTGATACCTATGAGTTGTCGTTTTACAAGGTCTTTAGCATTCTCTGCCAAAGAGTGCTTGTGCTCACCAAGCTGTAACCCAGAGAGCCAGATATAGACAACAGAGGCAGAACGAATAAATCATTCTATGAACCTTCTCCAAATTTCAAAAGAAATGGCCAGAGCTTACATTCAGTAATGTCCAGTGGGGAAATCCAGACATTCCTTATCATTCCCTTTTGTGGACAAGGAAAGGTGAGAGAATACTCCATCCAGGGACAACCTAAAAGAAGTACCAACTCTTTTACACTACCTCTGAGACTTACTAATGTTTTCCCTCTCCTTATCCCCAATCCTTGACTTAGCCACAGGTCATATCAAAATCCACAATTCTGGCCCACAATCCTCTTCTCAAATTATACATGAGGTTGACTAACAAATAGTTATATATGGTAGGTTGAAAGTTGAAATATGTTGCCATAACTTGACAGTTAATATACTCTTCTTTCTACTGACAACTGTCTTAAGTGCAACTTTGGAGCTCTGTTTAGCAAAACAGGCAACAACTTATAAGGACAGCTGTTATTACTTTAAGCTCTTTAACTGGGGTGCTTCCAAAGCCCATTTGCTATGATCCATTGTAAAAGCTCATTCCTTTGTCTTTCTCTTCAACCCAACACCTCAGAAAAATAAAAAATAATGGCATGAATTTTAAAGCAGATAGATGAATGAAGGCAATGTGAAAGCAAGTTATTTTCTTTGGTAGTAACAAACTAAAGCATTTAGTAGCAAATCTGCCACATTCCAGAAGCAGCTTTAAAAATAAAATATTCAATGAAGAAAATAAAATTAAAATCTGCATCTACAAGTCTTCTTCCTTTTGACACCACAATCTGGCACTAAACAAGCAGAGAGGGAAAATTTGCTTTGTGAGGATGGTACGCAGTGGCAGCAGGACTATAAAGCATTGGAATTGGGAGTCAAGCGCATTTATTTGCCACTATGGAAGGATTTGTGGCAGCAAGTTTTTAAAGTAAGTGCTGTGACACCATGCTATATTTCATCGAGGAGTGATAATGAGAGCACTGCCACATAATCATGGCACATGAAGATGTAAGCCAAGTTCCTCCGTAAAGTGCAAACTCTGAAGATTGCTTGCGTCTATTATGATCTTGAGCTATATTTGGTGCAATTTCACAAATTTTCTTC